GAATTTCAGTCCTGAAACATTCCTTATTCTTTTTAAAAGTTGGTTTTTCAGCTCCAGTCAGAGCTCCACGACTGAATCATTGAATAAATCGTCTCACTCCGACCTTCAGGACTACAAAACCCAGATCCTGGTTCTACCCAAGTCCTCCCACAAAGTCCCGACCCAGAAACTCTGGCGAGGAGCGAGACGACCACTTTGTTCTTAATTAGTTCAAGAAATCTGCTCCAAACGTTGAACTTTTTTCACCACAGTCGGCGACTCGAACCCCGAGGACACGAAGCTCCCGTCAGAAACCGAACCCCAGCGGAGTCCCTCATCTGGATCGTGTGACGAGAAGAAAAGAGCCTAATAAATTACATTTATTCAAAAATAAATGTAATTAATGGAGATAATAGGAAGCAGAGAGTGACCTGAGGTGAACTGAACACAACCAGCTCTCATTATTCTGATAATTCAGACATTTTAACACCAAGAGGAGCAGACAGAGATCAGTTCTGCCTTCAAATTAAAGTTTCTACAGTTTCCAGAAAAATTCCTGTCTTTGTTTCCAGGATGAAGAATTTAAAAATATTAACTAAATATTGAAAAATAAGTAAAGAAATAAATATTATTTTTGTTTAGAAATTTTGAAATTTAAATTTTTTAAGAGTTTTGTATTGTTTACCTGAACAGGCTAAAGTCCCAAAATACAAGATCTAGGAAAAGTTTGGCCAAAGGCTAAAAGTAGCAGAACATGATCTTAAATCCCAAAATATTAGAAATTTAGCTTAATTTAGCTTTTAAAGCTTAAAGTGGCAAAAGGCTAGCTAAACATTACAAAACACAAATTAAAAAAGTCTAAAAGTATCAAAATCACTAGCTTAAACCTCATAATACTAGAAATGTAGCTAAAAGTCAAAAAGCAGCTGAAGGACTGAAATCAGGTGCGAGGCCAGTTAGTTGAGTTTGTGGCAAAAGCTTTTTTCTAAAAGTTGTTAAAAATCTCGACACGTCTCCATGTGGAAATTACTTCTTTAAACTATTTTAAATGTCTTTTCTGAAGTTAACTCAAACTACGGTAGCTACATTTGGATTTTTTTTTCTTTTTCTGACAGTTTGTTTACAGTTTGTTGACAGTTTGTTTACAGTTTGTTGACAGTTTGTTTACAGTTTGTTGACAGTTTGTTGTCACTTTGTCACTTTAACAGTTTGTTTACAGTTTGTTGACAGTTTGTTTACAGTTTGTTGACAGTTTGTTGTCACTTTGTCACTTTAACAGTTTGTTTACAGTTTGTTTACAGTTTGTTTACAGTTTGTTGTCACTTTGTCACTTTAACAGTTTGTTTACAGTTTGTTGACAGTTTGTTGACACTTTGTTGTCACTAACAGTTTGTTTACACTTTGTTTACAGTTTGTTGTCACTTTGTCACTTTAACAATTTGTTTACAGTTTGTTGACAGTTTGTTTACAGTTTGTTGACACTTTGTTGTCACTAACAGTTTGTTTACACTTTGTTGACAGTTTGTTGTCACTTTGTCACTTTAACAGTTTGTTTACAGTTTGTTGACAGTTTGTTTACAGTTTGT